AGGATAATGACACAATTATAGAGTACTGAACATATAATGAAGTAATTTTATACACTAAGGAGAGGGGGAAATATTGTTAGCTATTTAGAGATCATACGCTGCCACTATGTTTCCTTTACTAGGAATAGAACTTAGGAAATTCACTTATTGATATTAATCTCAAGTATCAGATTTCATGCCGAAGAATATTGAATCGAATAGCCTTACATACCTTATCATCTGATCAATACAACTATCATGATTCAGCCTCCTCTTTCAGGTTTTAATCTATAATATAAGTCATGATAAATTTAAATTAGCAGTTATCACACCGTGAGCCTTGTAAAATAGTAGCTAACTTTGACGGATAATGAGCCCATACAGCCCTTAAAAAAAGTGTATCACCACACCCTCCTTATATGCCCAATACATACATTATATATCATTTTCCAAGATTACCCAAACTGCACCAACAACAATACACATAAAACAACCTCAAATATTCTTTATCATACAACCAATTATTGAACTCACCACCCCCTTGAGTTCTTTATGACAGCACACCCATAATTCTTCACTCAAACTCATACATAAGGAGGAAGAAAATAGAGTAGTCACCTTACCTCAATTTCTGCAACTTCTCCTTATAACTTGAATTCCTCTAGAACTTCAACTTCCCTTCACACTTAAACCAAAGAAGAAGAGAAAAGTATCTTAATACCAAGGAAGTAAGCAGTAGCTTCTGGAAATATTATGCCTTTATACCTATACTTGAGCATGAATAACATGTTCTCCTAATCATCCATGAGAGAATTAAGTTAAATACATAAGTGTTTTCACCTACCTTGTCTTGCAGAGATGAGGGTTTCTTCAAGAACCCTAGAAGAACTTTAAGACTGTTGTTTAATCCTTAAGAGAGAAATAGTTGGAGTTAATCCTCAATAATGTGTGTTAAAATGAGTGAGAATAGCAGCCAATATATCCTTATGTTGAGCTTTCTTCACCTTTAAGAATATCCACTAGAAAGCTTCATTTTCAGCCATTAATTGGTCAAATAGGTGATGCACCTGCTTATGTACATCAATTAGCTCAAAAAGGTCAAACTAGGTGATGCACTTACTTGCTTTCACTTGGGCTTAAATATTGGGCCTTGACAGATTTGGCTGCTGGGTAAACTTTCATTTTCCATTTATTTAACTTAGTTTGGGCCTTAAGTGAGTCCATTAGCATAGGCCCAAATCTGATCCATAAACCTTGGCCTTTTAAACTAGATCCATATAGCTCAAGTAGGTGATGCACCTACTTGGTCCTTTGGACTGGTCAATAAGTCAAAGTAGGTGATGCACTTACTTGTCACATGCTAGCTTAGTTAAGTCAAGCAAGCAACTCACTTATTTTATTCCATTTTCTAAATATTAATCCCTTTTTCTTTCACTTAGCACTTAACTTTCAACTTTAAGCTCAATTACCACCTTATTGTCTCTTTAAATACTCCCGTTGGAGTTAACTTACAGTCACATGCTGAAACGTGCAAGGCATCACATCACTGTAGACACGTAATTTTTGACCGAACTTGATGTTTTACACAAATTTTAGTGGTTAAATATTTCTTTTACTTTTAAATTAAATATTTTGATTTTATCATATTTTAGTAAGTTTAGTGTAAAAATATTCGAAAACCACAAAAATAGAGTCATGTTTTAAGTTAAGTTTTGTTTTCAATTTATTCAAAAGAGAAGAAAATGTTCAAAAAATATATGTTTTCTTTTAATGTATATTTAATAAATAAACTAGTGTTTCTTAATTATATTTTTAATTAGTTATTTAACTTTTCTTAAATTTATAGTAATTTAAAATAATTAATTAGTAATTTTAATTATTATATTTATATTTATATATACTACACACTACTCCACTACCCCACTTCCTCACTCCATATCTACCCATTTCCCAAACACAACACTCCCTCACACGTACATCCACACACCCATTCCCACAACACACCACCCCCTATCTACATATACCACCCATTCCCAAAAAGAGAAAAAAAAACACACACACACAGCAAGACAAACGGACAGAAGAAAAGACACAGAAAAAAAAAGAACACTATACTACACGAGCAAGAAGAAAAAAAAAGAAAACACTTCCATTTTATTTATTCTTCTTTCAAACAATAATCATACATTCACATCTTTTCTTCCTTACCCATTTTTTTCATATCAACACAAACACATATACCATCACAAACAACCTACAAAAATTATGGGTGTTCTAATCGAGCTTCGGTTAAGATTTTGCGGTATTCAACTTTACTTTATCTTCTTATTTAATTTATTCATGGAATTTGATGTAATTATTATGATAAGTTTTCTTACACTTTTATTTTATTCATAATTTGATTAAAATGAAGAATGTGTTAAGTGTTATATCTCTTTAATGAATGAAAGTAACTTTATTGGTGGTTATTTTTATTTATCTATTTTCGTTCATTAGTTGTGATGTCTTAAAATGAATGGGTCATGATGTTGTTCATTTCTTGATTTCGATGCTAATAATGATAAAGTAGGAATTATTGGGTTCACAAAATTATTGTTGTTTTATTTATTAAATAAAGAATGAGATTTATTTTAGTAATTCGTCATTGTTTAGTTGGATTAATAAAAAAGTACAATATGAGTATGCCTAATTTCGCCATTACTTCAAGATAAAATAAAAATAAAAATATAATATGTGTAGGCCTAATTTTAACATTAACTTTAAGGGTGAATAAAAATAAAAGAATATAAGATAATCCAAAATTTATATTGTATCCTAGAAGTTAGATTTGTTTTATTTTATTTGATTTTATTTAATATTTTCTTATAACATTAGATGGGTTTTAGGCATGTAAAAAAAAAAAAAAATATTTGTTTCAATTAAGAATGTGGTTACACATCTTTTTTGAAACACTTAAAAGAAATTCAAGGATGTGATGACACACCTTGATAAAATTATTCTAATATATATTTTAACATGTGGATTAATTCAATTAAAAGTATCATCAATAAATATAACAATGAAATGAGAAGATTAGTTGTCTAGAATTCAGAAAAATAAGAGTAAGTACTTTTAATACTAGATGAGTTTTATGCACGTTAAAAATATTTATTTCGATTAAGAATGCGGTTGCGCATCTTTTTTGAGACATTGAAAAAAAAAATTCAAGGATACGGAGATGCACCTTGTCCAAAAATATAATAACTTCATTAATTTAAAATAAGATCACTTATAGATAAAATTAGGTGATGCACTCGAGAGAAGAAAACAATTATGCTCATAAGCTATTTATATGTCAAAAGTCGAGAATGCAGTTATGCATCCGATTTGAGACCAAATAAAAGTTCAATAATAAAAATGCAAACAAGTCATGGCCTGAAAATAATATATCCACAAATGATTTAAAATAGGTATAAGTCAATAAAAGCGACCGTGGTAGAACCACGGGATTCGAGGGATGCCTAATACCTTCCCCTCGGTCAATAAAATTTCTTACCCAAATTTTTGATTCGCAGACCAAATAAAGAGTCATTTCCTTATGATTAGGAATTAAACAAAAAGGTGAATTGAAACACCATAACTCATTTTCAAGTGGCGACTCTAAAAATAAAATAATCCCTTAATCAATAAGGTCACTTAAATTGGAAAAACCCTTCTGCCGCCGTGCGCAAAAAAGGGTGTGACATCTCTGGCGACTCTGCTGGGGAATAACCAGAATTTGAGCTTTGTATATTTGAGTTTTACTTTATTTTATTATATTATTTCATTGGATATATTGTTTTGATGACCTAATTTGCTACTTGCTGCTCATTTATCGATTTGATATGGTAGTAGAGAATGCAGTTATGCATCCCAATTTCTTTTCAGATAAAGCTGGAGTGTCTGGGCACCCAGTGAAGGATTTTAGTCACACATGTTAGGCAAAGTTGGACCAGCAATGAAGTCGGAATAGCGGTGCTACCGATAAGTTGCCCCTACTTGGCTCGAGTTGTCTACTCGGGTAAGACAGTCTAGATACCTTTCTTATTACGATTTGAACTTAGTAAAAATTGAACATAGACACAGTTATTCCTAGAAGACTTCGATTCATGTGACTTAGTGAGCCTCAAAACAAGAGTTGGGTTCGTCCAGGACAATTATCCCTCTCTTACTTAACCACTTAGCTCATTTTATGTGCTACATGAAAATGCATTTATTTGAAAGTTTCTATAAGTTGACTCATTTTAGTATGACTAATGCAATGAATTTTTTTTTATCTTTTGATCTTATATTAAAAAAAGAAGAAGAGAAAACACGAAAATATTTCTTTTAGAAGTTATTATACATTTCTTAAAATAAAATAAAAAATTTGCATTACTTAATGAAAATAATAATAATATTTTTATTTAGATTGTTTTCATAAAATTTGTAAAAAGAAAATTCAAAATGTTTTACTTTCACAATACTTTGAAAAGTTATATTTGTCAAAATAAAAAATAAAAATTTAATATCTTAAAGTTTTTTTTTACTGTCCAATCTGGACGAACTACGCACACCTGATTCTCACCTCAATGAGATACGTAGGCAACCCTCTTTGGGTTCGGTGATCTTTATTCAAAAATAAAAAATAAAAAATCATTTTTCAAAAGTTCAAAAAAAAATGAAAAACAAGAAGCTTTAATTTTTATCAAAAATAAGTTTTTATTAATTTTCTTTTAATAATTCAAATAAAAAAAAAAAACTAAAGAATTTTATCTCAAAGCTCTAAAAAAGAAAAACTTAGTTATTGAGTTTTTGAAAAATATGCAAAGATCTTTGCAAGCATGTTACGTATGCAATCTCAAACGGATTTGATCAATGCATTATTAAAAAAAATAAATTATAACTGAAAAAGGTCTAACCCTAACAAACATTATTATCTATGCATAGTTAAATTAAGGTGGTTGATTTGTGGTTAAGCTGGCATCTCATCCCTATAATACAAGGTTAAAAGGGAAAAAAAAATGACTCACAAAGACGGAAATGAGTCAGACAATGATGAGGTCCAGAACCAGATGATGTCACAAGAAACAATGTCAATCGAAGAGATAAGGTTACTAAGACAGCAAATGACGGAGATGTACAAAGCTTGGATGATTGGACAAGCTCCACCGCCTTCAATCCGTGACTATCTAAATACAAATATGTCACCCCATGTCCAAGTATCAATGAGTGATCCAATCTATCCACCTGGATTCGGTCCCTATGTTAACGCATCCAATGTAGCTGGAACTTCTACGGTGCGCCCTTTAAGTATGCCTATGACAAGTAATCCACTATTCATTCCAACTGCGCCAACAAATATCGTTCAACAACATATAATGGAGCCAAAATTCAACAACGATCCTCCACCCAAAGTTCAATATGATCGAGATTATACTCCTGAATTGATTTTTAAAATCCCAAGCTCTTACCCTCACACTCATCAGTATAGTTCCCATGTTGAGGCTGAAAAAGCTGTTAAGAACGATGAACATGAAGAATTTGCTAAAAAAATAAAGAGTTTGGAACAAAGTGTAAGAGATATGCAAGGATTGGGAGGTCACAAAAGTGTTTCATTCAATGATTTGTGCATGTTTCCCCACGTTCATCTACCCATCGATTTTAAAATTCCAAAGTTCGAAAAATATGATGGACACGGAGATCCTGTAGCTCATTTAAAGAGATATTGTAATCAATTGAGAGGGGCTGGAAGCAAAGAAGAATTGCTCATGACTTATTTTGGGGAAAGTTTGATGGGAATTGCCTCAGAATGGTTCATAGACCAAGATACTTCTAACTGTCATACATGGGATGATTTGGCTCGATGTTTTGTTCAACAATTTCAATATAACATTGACATAGTTCCAGATCGCATTTCACTTGTCAACATGAGGAAGAAGACCACTGAAAATTTTCGTGAATATTCTATTAGGTGGAGGGAGCAAGCTGCTAGGGTTAAGCCGCCAATGAAAGAGTCTGAAATTATCGATGTTTTCCTTCAAGCGCAAGAACCATATTACTTTCATTATTTACTTTCCGTTGTTGGAAAAACATTTGCTGAAGTTATTAAGATTGGTGAAATGGTGAAAAATGGTATCAAGTCTGGAAAAATTGTAAGTCAAGCTGCCTTGAAAGCTACAACACAGGTGATTAAAAATGGATCAGGAAATTTTGGGGGAAAGAAAATGAAGGAGGATATAGCAAATGTTGTGTCAGGCACACAAAAAGGTCCAAGGGGTCCACTTTATCAATCTGCACCACCTCAATACCATCATTATCTCCCTATGCAAGACACACAATATTCTGTTGTTCCACCTTAATATGCGGTTTACAATGCACAACAATATGCATACCCACCAAACTATCCTCAATGGCGAGCGTCAACATATCAAAATGTTCACCCTTCTTCTCAAAATTTTCGAGCACCTTATAATCTTTGTCCGAGACAGGGATTTGGAGGAGGTCAAAGGCCTAGAAACAATTTCACACCAATTGGAGAGTCTTACACAAGTTTATTTAACAAGTTGAAACATTTGAAAATAATAGAGCCGATTCCTCAAAATTATGTGGATCCACATGCAAAGGGTTTCAATCCTACAGCACGATGTGCATACCATTCTGATGCTCCAGGGCACAGTATTGAAGATTGTCGTAATTTTAAAAAAAAGGTGGAAGAGATGATTCAAACAAAGATGATTGTGGTTCAAAATGATGACCCCCCAAATTTTACTAAGAATCTTCTACCGGCGCATAGTGATGTACACTTTATCGAGATGATATGTGATGACAAAGAATATGACAATTCTGAAGAAATGGCAATTGAAATTGGTAGAGCTTTTACGAAGGCTAACGTGCAAAGCAGTGGCTAAGAAGTTCAGCTTGGGGATTGAGATACACTCTTCTTTTCTCTAAAAAGAGTGTATAAATAGTTTATTTTGTCATCATTTCTGCTATGCAATCATTTTTATTTTTAGTAAGTCAAATCTTTCTATCATTTCTATTATGCGTTTGTTTGATTGAGTCTTGTCGTGGTTTGAGTTATTATAGAGTTGTGACCTAAATTTAGTTTGTTGTCTTGTCACCAAGTTTTTTTTAATCTTTAATATAATCTTTATTCTGTGTCACTTTGATCCGTTCTATTTGGCATTACACATATACATCTCTTTTCAGTTCAATTTTGTGACATGATATGCAAAAGGATTTGGTCAGATCTTAAGATTATATCTAATCATGAAATGAATACGTCAAAGATTTTTTTTTTTTTTTAGGAAATGAATAAATGACTTAGACACCTTGATACTTTCTTTAGTATCAAAAAAAAAAAATCATCTAACTTGACATGTCATTTGTTGTCAAGAAGGTATTACTCTCAGCTGACAAACATGTAACAAAATGATATACATATTCATCAATACATATGTTGCAAAGAAATATTATATGATTTTAGCTTCACATCTTAAAGGGATTTGCTTGTATTTGACATTTTTAATAATTGACATGACGAAGGCATTTCATTCTACTATCCAAACACCGTGTAATCCTTTGTTATCCCTTTTGAGCCTTAATTTTATTTTCTTTCATATACCTCTTTTGGAATCAAAATACAGTAAAAAAACAAAAAAAGTCAAGAAGAGAGAAAAGTGAAAAAGAGAAAAAAAAAAAAGAGAAAAGAAAAGTTGGAGTGAAAAATAAAATAAAAATCCAATAACAACAAAAAACAAACTTCCTGAACTATGTTCGACCTGATTCTTGCTTTGACAAGATACGTAGGCAAACTTATTTTGAGGTTCGGTCCAAATAAAAAAAAAATCTAGAAAGTCCTCATCACAAAAACTAGGGCAATAATAATAATAATAATAATAATAATTATTATTATTATTATTATCATTATTATTATTATTTTATTGTATTTTTGTAAAAAGAGTTGATTTCAAAAGTTGTAAGTCTTAATCCTGTTACGCAGTATCTTTGAGCTTTCATACCAATCATTTCATTTTAACCCTGTCCAAAAGTCACGTTACAATCCAATTAAAGACCATCTGATCAATTTTTAACAATGACAAGTCAATCAAGCTTTTAGTGTTGATTATATAAGGAAAAATGTTATGCCATTCGCATAAAGAGTGAAAAATGAGGAAATCTTATCGATGAAAAATCCTCAAAATCCCTATAGGGGATCATTTGAGTCGAGAGAAAGTAAAAAATGAGAGTCTTATTGGTGAAAACCCTTAGGGCACCGTAAAACGATAGTGAGTGAGAGATAATAAAAAAACAGACATGTTAGTGAAAACCTTTCGAGGCACCACCAGTCAAGTGTTAGTCATAAATCTAGCGCAAAAGTTGGATTATAAAAGTCTGACTTCAAAGTTGAAAGTTTGACAAAGATAAAGTTTAGATTGATTGGACAGACCAGACTATTTAATCCAAAATGCATGTCATGATCATTAGAATTGACAACCACTATCAATAGAATCCATTTATTTTTATTTATTTATTTATTTCTTCTAAAAAGGATCAAATATTATTTCTTCTTATTTTGCGTCTCGCTCAATTCAATCTTGAGATAGTCTTCATTAAGCAGGCAGAAAATGATTTCAAAATTGCTACCATCTCTTCAATTGCACAAAACAAAGCTTGATTAGCCCATCAATCGTGACATGATTCAAGAAATAGTGATATGCATAGTAACTTGTCAGCAATTGACAATTTTTGAGTACAAGGTTCAATTATTGTTGGAGGGTGGAAACAATATAACAAATTTGAAGTTGGAAGTTCTGAACAACTAGAGATATTTTCAAGATTATCAAGGTGAGCTGACTAGCAAACGAAAGCATTCAATCTCAAGCTAAAATTAGTTTCAAACATGGCAACAACAGGAGCAACTATCCTCAAAGCCAATGCCACAAATCGACCACCATTAAAAAAACATAAACTTTCTTTTGTTTCTTTTCTAAAACAGGGAGATATTCCTTACGTAAAAGATATCTTGAAGACTCGAATTTGTTAATATTATTGCAAGAAAAAGAAAAAAAAATAAAAAAATTATTGCATTGTTTCTCCTATGATAAATGTTTTCTAGTGTGAGACAATTATTTTCATTTTACTAGGATAAACAGTTCCTAATATAAGACATTTAAAAACTAAAAAAAAAAGGGGGGATAAAATATTGTGGTGATTTTATTTGAGGATTCTGTTAATTGAGATCTTCCAAAGTAATGAGAATTAGATTAGCAGGATCCTCCTACATAATGAGATTTAGATTAGCAGGACCCTCCTACATAATGGAATTAGCAGGACCCTCCTACATAATGGGATTAGCAGGACCCTCCTACATAATGAGATTTAGATTAGCAGGACCTTCCTACATAATGGGATTAGCAGGACCCTCCTACATAATGGGATTAGCAGGACCCTCTTACATAGTAGGATTTAGTTATTTTCTCCTAGGTAAACACTTCTTACTCGGAGACATTATTTTTTTTTATTTTATTTTTTCTCCTAGGATAAACTCTTCCTAGTCCGAGTTTATTTTTGAAAATTTATATTTGCTATTAACTCACAAAATTTTTCCAGTGAAAACTGGGGCAAAAATTTTGTTTATTTCTTTTGTTTGTGATGGTTTTCAGGGTTCTTCAAACGAAACATGGATTGAAAATTCAAGAACAAAGTTTCAACTTATTTCAGAATGATCAATCCAATGATAGCCAGAATCCAATTCTTCAATGAATGTAGCAATCTGACCTCCTGACACACACTTCTATTCAGCTACTGATCAACAAAACAAGCAGTCATTCAAGAACATTTTCAATTTGTCATTTTGAAGAGTGCCAAAAACTCACTCTAAGTGGCAAGTTGAGCCTCGAATCCATTCAAGATCAAGATACTCACAAAAATCAAGGTGATATCTCAAAGTGAAGATTCAAGAGAAGCTGCATAGATAGGAGCTTGTAATTTATTTTCCTTTTGACTATTAGTTTTTGATTTTTTTAATTGAAAGGATCGGATAGGAACCGCGACCTGGAGCCTCGATGGAACGTCACTCAACCTCCAACTCATCACCTCATCTCCTTAAACTACACGTGACCTGATTCCCTTATAACCCGGGATATGTAGGATGTCCAAATCCAAGACTCGGTCGCACAAATTTTTCCTTCAAATACAAGTCCGGTCAAAATTTGTCACGTTATCTACTTCTTTGTCTGCAAACTCTTCGTGTTTTCAGTCAAAGAGGGGCAAACTGTAGACACGTAATTTTTAACCGAACTTGATGTTTTACACAAATTTTAGTGGTTAAATTTTTTTTTACTTTTAAATTAAATATTTTGATTTTATCATATTTTAGTAAGTTTAGTGTAAAAATATTCGAAAACCACAAAAATAGAGTCATGTTTTAAGTTAAGTTTTTCTTTCAATTTATTCAAAAGAGAAGAAAATGTTCAAAAAATATATGTTTTCTTTTAATGTATATTTGATAAATAATTAATTAGTAATTTTAATTATTATATTTATATTTATATATACTACACACTACTCCACTACCCCACTTCCTCACTCCACATCTACCCATTTCCCACACACAACACTCCCTCACACGTACATCCACACACCCATTCCCACAACACACCACCCCTTATCTACATATACCACCCATTCCCAAAAGAGAGAAAAAAACACACACACACACACACACACAGCAAGACAAACGGACAGAAGAAAAGACACAGAGAAAAAAAAAGAACACTATACTACACGAGCAAGAAGAAAAAAAAAGAAAACACTTCCATTTTATTTATAATTCTTTCAAACAATAATCATACATTCACATCTTTTCTTCCTTACCCATTTTTTTCATATCAACACAAACACATCTACCATCACAAACAACCTACAAAAATTGTGGGTGTTCTAATCGAGCTTCGGTTAAGATTTTGCGGTATTCAACTTTACTTTATCTTCTTATTTAATTTATTCATGGAATTTGATGTAATTATTATGATAAGTTTTCTTACACTTTTATTTTATTCATAATTTGATTAAAATGAAGAATGTGTTAAGTGTTATATCTCTTTAATGAATGAAAGTAACTTTATTGGTGGTTATTTTTATTTATCTATTTTCGTTCATTAGTTGTGATGTCTTAAAATGAATGGGTCATGATGTTGTTCATTTCTTGATTTCGATGCTAATAATGATAAAGTAGGAATTATTGGGTTCACAAAATTATTGTTGTTTTATTTATTAAATAAAGAATGAGATTTATTTTAGCAATTCGTCATTGTTTAGTTGGATTAATAAAAAAGTACAATATGAGTATGCCTAATTTCGCCATTAACTTCAAGATAAAATAAAAATAAAAATATAATATGTGTAGGCCTAATTTTAACATTAACTTTAAGGGTGAATAAAAATAAAAGAATATAAGATAATCCAAAATTTATATTGTATCCTAGAAGTTAGATTTGTTTTATTTTATTTAATATTTTCTTATAACATTAGATGGGTTTTAGGCATGTAAAAAAAAAATAATAACATTTGTTTCAATTAAGAATGTGGTTACACATCTTTTTTGAAACACTTAAAAGAAATTCAAGGATGTGATGACACACCTTGATAAAATTATTCTAATATATATTTTAACATGTGGATTAATTCAATTAAAAGTATCATCAATAAATATAATAATGAAATGAGAAGATTAGTTGTCTAGAATTCAGAAAAATAAGAGTAAGTACTTTTAATACTAGATGAGTTTTATGCACGTTAAAAATATTTGTTTCGATTAAGAATGCGGTTGCGCATCTTTTTTGAGACATTGAAAAAAAAACCTCAAGGATGCGGGGATGCACCTTGTCCAAAAATATAATAACTT